CACAAATTGATTTCTTGAATAAAAACAAACAAAATAGAAATAAAACATAAAAAAATTATCTCTAACTGAAATATTTCAGTGAATTTCTCGTTTCTTTTGATTTATCCATTTCAATACAGATACAATGATTCTAAAGTGTGTTTGTGTGTATGTGTGTGTATGTGCGTGTGTGCGGAGGTTGCAAGCGTACGCGTACATACGTGCGTCTATGTGTGCTTTTATGGTAGTTATAGGGAAGCGGTTAACTAACTATACCTTTCACTTATATTGAAAACATATGGATAGTAACAATAATAATAATAATAATAAGCATTCTGTTTCTCTAGTCATATCATTATGAATCTTTAGTTTGTTATTGTTTGTTTTGTTTATTTTTCTTTCAAGAATATACAAATATTAGTTCTATAGAATCAAATGAGTTCAATGCATAGTAACTAATTCATGAATATATATTGATCAATCATTGATGGAATGTCGTTTTCTTAATGAGTATAACATATTTTTATCATCACTCTATCTATATATAGTAAGAGATATGATTTCATTAAGAAGTAGACATCTGTTATCTAATTGTGTAAAAATCTTAGAAAAATTGAATTATCACATAGGTAATATCGTATGTTTCAAATCATAATCAACATTCTTCAATGTGTAGGTTGAATGAAAAATGGTTTCTTCTTTTGTTTTTGTTTTGTTTCTATGGTTTGAATGTAGTAGAATATGTTATTATCATTGAAGACTATCAAGATAGTATAGGGAACCTGTTCAGTGTTCTAGGTCCTCATCAATTTACTCTTTAAAGATGAAGATAGAGTTTTAGGAATGAATCAAAAACAATGATGACATTTTTAAACAAAGATGGATAGTAGATTAGATGGCGGTTGGAGGTAGTCAACAGGAAACCCTGAACCCGGGTTTCGTGCTACTTGGCACTCGTCAGCAAGGTGTACCTGTAATCTTTGAGGGAACTAGTGCTCCCTGGCGGATTCGATCCCGTGTCACCCAGCTTCACAGTCAGAGACGTTACCACTGAGCTATTCGAGCCGTGACTGACCTCCTGTAGGACTGAGATGTAATCACAATTGATTGATCACCACCCAGTGATCAATCAATTGTGAAAGATGGATAGTAGCTAGTAGTGGAAGCTAGTTTGATTCATGTTTCATCCTATATGGGATGAATCAACTAGATGTACCTGAATCTTAGAGTGGATGTTAACTGTGAGACTTTAATCCATTACTATTCACTTCAAATGTCTTCACGTCATTCATTTAGTAAACATCAACTCTGAGATGCAGGTACATATAGCTGATGAGGCCTAAATAGAACGAAACATGCTTCAAACTGGAATCCATCGCTAGCCACTATCCATCTTTGTTTAAAATAAAGCTTGTGACTTAAGGTAATATCAAGACAATCGTATAGGATGCACATATGCCAACATGAGACTGATTGATCGTAGTTGTAAATAGTAATGGGAAGATAAAAGTAAAACAACATCAAATGAATTTAAATGATGAAATTTATTATAGACAGAGGTTTATCATGATTGAAATTTAATAATTGGTAAGTGGAATCAAACTGAAAGATAAAACAACACTGGATAGTCTAGATGTTTTAATATGTCAAATTGAAAGATAATAAGTTTAGGTCTAAATTTGAAAACCGATACTTGAATCAAACCAAACCGAATTAAACGAGCATCGAAGATCTCAATCTTAGCAGTTGTCAAACTTTACTAAAATGCTCGTGAACATCAGATTGACCGAATAATATCATGTTATGTTCCAACGGCCTGTCAATTATCACGTAATACAATTGCTAATTAGAACGCCAAATTACTGACCAGGCCAATGCCATATAAGCCAATATGAACAGTCTAGAGTCAATCCTGAGCTCCCATTGGTCTAGCGAGATAGTAGTTTCTCGCCTAATTCTAAAATAAGTCAAAATATCAACCTAAAGATTATTGTGACTCAGAAGTGCGCATCCACGATCCCGCCTTGCAAGATTCAAAACCAGGACCCACTGATCCAGCTAAGTGGTCTATCGGTTAACCGTTCGCTCACAAGACCGATAGGTCATGGGTTCGTATAATAATAACCCTACAAATATGGAATATGGATATACATATAGTATAGTTAGTTAATAATCATACAATAAGTAAATATATAATAATAGTCCACTAATAGATCCTAGCTGTTACTATTCACCTATTATTCGTCCGGATACAACACATCAATCAAGATGACTTGCGACCACCAACACAGTGGTCTAGTGATTAAGCGCTCGCGCACGAGACTGATAGGTCCTGGGTTGGAATCTCGTGAGGCGGAATCGTAGATGAGCACTGTTGAGGAGTCTCATACTAGAACGAAACGGCCGCCCACTTCTTCCAGATTTCCAACGGTAGTCTAACATCGATCGGTTCATGATCGTAATCAATAAGAACTCATAACGTACGATTTGTACTGTTTACAACTCATAAACTGGTTTTATCTACATTTCAGAATGAATGTTCAATCCAGAGTTCAAATCCAGTATTGTTTGTTTCAAAACTCATTGCATTATCTCATAGTCCTAGATCTCACTTCTAACTACATCCCATTTATTCAATATCAACTGGAGTTATTATAACTATGCCGAAGTACATAAGCCAATCACAACTGATCAAATCTTAGTCAAAAATATCAATGATGAAATAATCAATCATTCATTTTTTATATCATCAATTAATAATATCAATTATCATTGTGTTACTCTAATGCCTTCAGTTTCTCCTATCTGAACAGTTTCAGTAAGGACTGCTAAGAATAACTTTGTTAAATACTATGTAAATCATCTATTTTACAAATATTTAAGTAAAAAGATGATCGAAATGTGTCATTTTCCAGATTGATTCTACCGCGATACTATAAGAACTGTAGCGGTAAATAAATCCCCAAAATAAATAGCTCTGTAAGTTTTCGACATTGTATGCTGACCATATGTTTTATTGGACTCATCTAGCTGAAGGTGCTCGGTCAGGCATCCGCACCAGATCACGTGTGGTAACGCCGTGCTCAACATCTACCGCAATCGCTAGCCAGATTAGATCGAAGAATTCCGATATATTGGTTATCGCCAAATATACTCTTCCGATCTCCTCGACTCTGTCTTTTGATTTCTCTGGGTGGGAACGAATCATATTAGAAGGTGTTACTGGTAGAAGCGTTGTCAAACACTGAATACCTTTGTCATCTTCAGAACCAATCAGATTTAGGACAACCAATCTTTGATTTTTGCACGAAATTCATTCACTTATTTGATTAATTAGAGTTTTGGCATTTTACCTGATGTCAGTTCGTGATGTCAATACTAAATCTAATTTCTAACCTTAACCGCCAAATGTAAATCATAATCCTTACTCTTTACACTGCTTTATAAACTTCATTTCACCTTAGAATGTGGACTGACTTTCTCAAGGTTACTTCATTAATGTTCAATGGTCATCCATTAAGTACAGTCTTGCCAGTTCTACGTTGATCAAAAATGTTCTGTTAATTAATGAATATAAAGAAAACTTTATCAATCAGTAGATTGTTTAAATTCACTGGGTGTTGTTTTACTTGTATCTGTCCATTGTTGTTTACGACTGAAATTGATCAGTCTCTTATTGGCATATGTGTATCCTATGCAGATTGCCTCGATATTGCCTTCAGTTACAAGCTTTATAAGCAAAGATCGATAGTGGTCAAAAGTGGAATCCAGTTTGACGCATGTTTCGTCCTATTCAGGACTCGTCAGCTAGATGTACCTGAATGTCAGAGTTAATGTTCACTCTGGGACTCGAACTCAGCAATGTTTGCCTCAAACTCCACCACGTTATCCATTTAATTACTGAGTCCTGTAGTACACATCAACGCTGTTGATTGACTAAATGATGGACTAAATGGATGCCGGCTCAGTGGTCCAGTAGGTCAAGCACTTGCGCGCGAGACCGAAGGCTCTGTGTTCCAATCCCGCGAGCAGGATCATGGGTGCACAATACTGAGGAACCCCACAATAGGACGAAACGGCCGTCCAGTGCTTCCAGGTTTCCAAAGGTGCTCTAACATCAATCGATTCATGATCTCAATCAAAATGAAAGAATCTTTTTTCTTTCAGAGATATTTATATCTTGATTCATAAATTGATTTTCACACAGTTTCCTGTATATTCCATATACAAACACATACACACACACATAGAGCGAGAGAGAGAGAGAGAGAGACATTCAGTGAGTAGTACCATCATTAAAACTACATTATCGATTCATAAAAGAAGATATTTTTCTTTCTCTCTCTCTCTCTCTCGCTTGCACTATTTAATCTCTGTGCCATATTTCTTATCCAATTATAATAAATGAAAATATCTCATTAATTCAATTGACCAATCATAATTCAAATTATATGACCTTAATCATTCCATTAAGACTAATGTAATATAATAGTGAAAATGCCAAAATCATAATGACAATTCACTGTTCCGATAATTGAATCCAGCAACAATAATAAATAATAACACACAGATGAGAATACACATGCACACTTTCATAGATACGTACGCACGTATACGCACACGCAGGCACGCACACACACACACAAATGTATTTGTACACCTACGCATTTTTTTTTTAAAAATGCACTAATTATACTACTTAATTAAATGAATAATAAATGACAAAAAGAAAAAGTAAAAAAAAGAAAACAAAAACAAAATAAAAATGAATAAAATAGAAATTCTTTAACTGTAAATAAGAATTCATACATTTATAATTGGATAAACTCTTGATAATATTGAACTCAAATTATTATATGTTTGGCTTTAAGACTTGTATCTATCAAAGAAACGTGTAGCTTTATACATCTATATATAAAGAGAAAGAAAGAGAAGGATATACAGATACCGATTTATAATACGTGGAAGTGATACAAAAGTCAAATTGTTTACAGTTTCTTATACATTGACAATAAATTATCATGTCTATTTCATATGTTGATGATATATCTGATGGTCAAGGGATATTTATCTTTGTCAAAATACTTAGAAGGTAAGATTATTCAAATGGATAGATAATTTCATATTATGATTTCGTTGTTTTGTTTTTGTTTTTTTTTTGTTGTTGTTGTTGTTGTTGTTATGGTTGAAAGTAAGATTCTGAGTTCAAGTTTCACAAGGCGATATGGTGGGTGTGAACTATTGAGGAGTCTCATAATAGGATGAAATGGCTATCTAGTGCTTTCAGGTTTTTCATGTTGGTCTAGCTTCAATTGACTCAGGAATTCAACTTTAGAATTACTTAAATCTCCACAAAACCCCTTTTGATAATAATCATCGTATACTCACTAGTGACTGGTTTCAAGAGTTATTTCCCGGAGTTCTACTGAGAAGCAGTGCTCAGTGGAGTTCAATCGGGTCTGTTGTGAGATAGTAACTCACTGATGACAATGGTGGATGTGTTTCTCAACTTCGTGGATTAGTTGAGGTTAGACATTAACAAGTTTGGATACCAGCTCAGTGGTGTAGAGGTTGAGCGTTCACGCGTGAGACTGATCGTTCCTGGGTTCTAATCCCGCAAGGCGGGATCGTGGATGCACACTGCTGAGGAGTCCTGAAATAGGACAAAACAGTCGTTCAGTGGTTCCAGGTTTTCCACGGTGGTCTAGCTTCAATTGACTCATGAATTCAATTATTAGATGTATTTTAATAGAAAAGTATAGAATCACTTGGTAAAATATAAGAACTATACATTGAAGTGTTCATTTATAAATTTCCATTATTTGTTCATCACATTCTGTATGATTCTTTGAAGTTATCATTCTTATCTATTTTCATTTCTGTTTTACTTTTCAACTTGATCTTCTTAACCTTCTATTGTTAAAATTTTCATTTTCGATTAGTGTTACATACTACTTATATTTGTTGACATATGTAAAATATACACCATACTGTGATAATGGTCTCGACAGTTATATTTACTTTAGATTAATTCCAGCAATTCATGTTCTTTTAATGATCCCAGTTTTAGTTGTTTGTTTTTCAATTTCTAGTTTACTCTTTTGTTTTCTATTACAAAGTTACCTAGAAACATCATTCGTTATCGATAAACGTTGAAGAACCTACTTCAATGGAATGATTATAAGAATCGGTAATTAGATCTTATACTTCATTTGAGATCATCTCTAGTTACTTAACTTCATCAATTCATAGACATATGATAATGTTGTATAAATTTCTAACTATCTCATAAGACCTACATAGTGATGTAAATAGTTCTAATCAATAAGAAGTAAATAAATTCAGTAACTAAATGAATCACTAATTTATTATTGAACACCTTGTTACCATATCGAAACTAAAATCAATAATTGATAATGATTTGAATGAATGCAATGCAAGTCATATGATTAAATATTTTACTCATATTGATTAATTTGGATTTCTGTATTAAGTTTCAAGTTACAATCAGTGTGTGTGTGTGTGTGAGTGAGTGAGTGAGTGAGTGAGTGAGTGAGTGAATGAGTGAGTGAGTGAGTGAGTGAGTGAGTGAGTGAGTGAACGAGTGAGCGAGTGAACGAGTGAGTGAGTGAATGAATGAATGAGTGAGTGCGTGAATGAGAGATAGGGATTTGTAGAAAATGCAATATAATCAATATTATTGAATATGATACTGAGTGAATAATGTCAAGATTTCCAGATCATCATTAATTCAATTAACTGATGACCTATTCATATATTGTTAGATATCTTTATCTTGATAGTGATATTAATAGTTGAATTTATGAATCGACCATCATTGAAAATCTGGGAGCACTAAACGGCTGTTTTGTTTTACTATGGAAGTTTTCAGCAGTGAGCATCCACGATCTCTCATTAAAAGAACTTAAACACATGCTTAAAACCTAGACCATTGAGCTGACTGGTATCCAACAGTTTTAATATATAACTATAATCTGATTATAAACTACCTTTCTAATAATTATGATCATGTAGTTACTAGTGACTGGCTTCCTGCAGTTCTAGAGAGCAGCTCTGATCAATGGAATCCAACCCGTGTTGGGTAGAGATACTTATCTACCTTAGAAAATGGTGAATGGTTGAAAAAGATCATGAATTGATTGATATTAGATATTAACAATATTGGAAGCTGACTCATTGATCTATAAGTTAAGCGTTTATACGCGTTCACACGAAGGTCCCGGGCTCGAGTCCCTTTAGTGTGGGACTATAGATATGCACTTCTGATGAATCCCATACTAAGACGAAACGACCATCCAGTACTTTCAGCTTTTCCATCGCAGTGTAACTTAAATTGACTCATAAAATTCAACTATTTAAATCATAACGATCCCCACAAACCCCTATTCTAATATCTTGATAGTATCTTGAAATCTAATTTGTTTTACTTATCATTATTGAGTTATTTGAGTCTTAGTTGTTGAATTCAAATTGTTTCATTAGATTATCTTAACAGATACCATACCATTTTATTTCTATAAAAAGACCAAAAAGAGAAGATATTTGTCATTAGTTAACAGAATTCATTCATTATCCTAGTTACACCAGATCATTAAGAAAAAATCAGACTTATTTTTGTCAGAAAGAGTTTTGTGGTGATCTTAGAAATTTCACTGGTTGAAATCATGAGTCAGTTGGCGCAACTTCGTGGATTGGTTGAAGTTTGATATTAACATCGTTGAATGCCGGCCTGCTCAGTGGTCGACAGGTTAAGTGCACACGCGCGAAACCGATAGGTTCTGGATTCGAATCTCGCAGGGGGCGAGGTCGTGGATGCACACTGCTGAGGAGTCCCATACTAGGACGAAACGGTCGTCCAGTGCTTCCAGGTTTCCCATGGTGGTCTAGCTTCAATTGACTCATGATTTCGACTTATTTTTTGTGTTTTCAAAGCAATTAATTCCATTAATAAATCTCGATAATGTAAAAAGAAGACGAAGATGATCAGAACTATGTAATGATACATTTCGAACAATCTGATCACATAAATACTATCAAGTGACCCAATAAGAAAGTCCATGGTATAGGGAAACCTGCTGTAGTCTTGGTAGAAAAAAAGCCTGTCTACATCACCTTATCATTCAGAGGTGATTCAAATAGCCTTTTATTGAAACAAAGACTTAAATCAATCAGTTATCAATAAAACGTAATGCACACTAAAGGTTATTATCAAAGAAAGAACAAGGTGAATGCTTCATCCAAAATCTAAAAGGTATGAAAACGATTATGTCACATCCCACTGTGTTTATCAATTTTAATGTGTGTGGTCACACATACATAGGGTGGAGCAATCGTGATCTCAAAATTAGAGTGTGTGAATATGTACCTATATGGTTGCAGAAACAGATACAATCAAGTGACCCAATAAGAGCAGACGATAAACATCCATCATCCTCTATTGCTAAACATATAATTGAAACAGGCCATAAGATTGATCTTAACTCGGCTTTTGTGGTGTTGTATAAAAGTGTAAGAAGGCGTATACTTGGGTTTATTGAAGCCCTAGCCAAACGAAAATTCAAACCCTTTATTGTATTTATATTTACTCTATCAGTGTGTGTGTGTGTGTATTCAATCGATTGTTTACGAATACTCTTATTTATTAAAACACATAAATCTTGGTACAAGAAGACACCAATCAGATATGCGTCATATAAATCGTTCGATTTGTGTGAGAGGTGAGATACTGTTCGAGTGCTCAAACCGAAGCAGGTGGTTTTCTTAGGGGTCCACGCCCGGAGCTTTTGACCTGAAGATCTGATCCATAAGGCAATGGAGCGACGTAAGCAGATGCCGTTACATGATAACCGATGACCATTAATTAGTTCATACATCATTTGTTACTTCAGGATCCTGGAGCCCATATACATCATTGATTTGGAATGAGGGTCTTCCAACTGCCGTAGATAGAACTTCCGTGTCTACCAACCCTGTTGAAGCACCGAACACTTACTTTTCGTCCTCTCGATTTCGTAACCCATACACCCGTTGCGAGAATGCGATGAGTAGGAAATCCCTGGCAATGATTGTATGCGCGTGGCCATGTGAGATCCTTTCAAGAGGGAGAAGTGACTCTCCCTACTCTCGAATATACCAGGGCATTTAGGGGTTATAGCTCAGTTGGTAGAGCGGAGGACTGTAGATTGGTGCAGTTTAAGAATACAATAAAAATCTAATGATTATATATCTCTCTACTCTAGGTATCTAGAACCAAAAATATAGTTAAAAAATTGTTTCGTCCCACTTTTTAAAAGCTTCAACAGTTGTGATTCACTACTAAAACCTTATTTAAATAAACAATTATTAAGTAGTGTAATGGTCATTCAACTGCTATTAGACTTCAACTTTTGATTCAAATTATTATCAGTATAGGGTTTTGAAGATGATTAAGTTTTTGATTGAGATTATAAACCGATTCATGTTAGATCACCATTGAAAATGTGGACGATCGTTTCGTCTTATTGTGGGACTCCTCAACAATGCGCATCTATGATCCTACGATCATTGAATCCCGTGAGCAGGATCGTAAAATTATTTTTTGTAAAACTTACTTTCAATAAACCATCTAATAAATGACTGATTGGTTCACTATAACCATTAGAATTAATTCATTTACAGATGGAACAGTATTTTTATTGATAATACTACATCTGAATTACATCGAAGTCTAAAGTTGACTATAATTTATTCCATCTGTTTGATTGAATCAATTTGTATACACTACGTTACATGACTTTTCATAGACCATTAGAAGACATTATAAACAATGGAATGCTTATGAATTAAGACAATATCGAAGCAATCCGCATTAGATACACATATGTCAATCAGAGACTGATCAATTGTAATCCTAAACAACAATGGAGATGTAATGAACAGAACACCAGTGGGGACAATCGAATCATATTTAGCACAAAATTACAAAGTTACTTGGTAAAATAGAAGAATCATACATAATTTGCAAAATGTTCAATCATTGTCTCGAACTTTGTTGTACTTTCATTTCCATATTAATTGCTCTTTATTCCCCTT